GGCGTTACTAACGCCGTTACTTTTTTCAGTAACGAGTAATCTAACTAATTACTTTGACAGTAACTATAACGCCGTTATCATTTCCGACATCCCGTTACTGCGCGTTACTCAAGACGCACAATGAACGTGTTGTCATGAGAGAAGGGAGGATGAGAAAACCTCTCAGCAATTATTGGCTGATGTAAATCATATTTCCTTTACAATCTACATGTCTACAGTTGAGAGGATGGTCATAAATTGTGTTTTTGAAACAAATATTGGTCTTAATCGCGCTCAACCACGGCTTGTATCACCGTGAGGTCAGCCACAGAGGAGCGCATGTGAGCGCAGAAGTCGGCTGCATACAATTCCATCGATAAGCTCCTTGCTCTTCCTGGTTTATCTGCTAAGGACAGCAACAGGTTTGGCTAACATACATATAACACATTTTTACATAATCTAAAATGCACATAGGGTAATTTTTCAATTACTATAGGAATGATAAGAAAGAGAGGTGAAGTGTAAGACGGTTGATTTTAGAAATTGGATGCAGCCGGCTGCAGCAAAACAGAGGAGTTTACGGAGGACACACGCGTTTTGTTTTACTTTTTAAAACTCATTGGACTCATTTCCAAACGGAGGATTACATATCTACGCTCAAACCATTCACTGGATTTAAACAAGGAACTGGTCTGAACCGAAGTGGATTGTGCAGGTCATTTATAAGGTAAGACCCATAACTCATAGTTTTGCGTTTTGTATGAACAAACAATGCGGGCATAAAACATATTTTGCTGTAGCCAAACAAATTGTCCACTTGATTTATATGATGTATATGTTCATCTGATTGGACTGAAGTCAGTGCTTCACCAGCCTCACCGCTCGTCACCGGTGTTTCCACATTCACAGTGGCGGGTGTTGGTGTTTAGTGCTTACACAGAGACAGATGAAGAGTGAACAGGACTTCAGCAGCAAAACAGCCTTTTCTAGATGGAAATATTGGCACTGTTAAAGGTAAAAATGCGCACGTCGGGTGCACATTATGTTCCAGAACAAAACGAAAAAGTAACGCAATAGTTACTTTTACTGGTAACTAGTTACTTTTATAGTGGAGTAACTCCGTTAGTAACTCAGTTACTTTTTGGGAGAAGTAACTAGTAACTATAACTAATTACTTTTTCAAAGTAACGTGCCCAACACTGGTGGGGGTACACCCCCACTGGCCTGTAGTGTGCAGGTCTATAGGTTCTTTTCTAACATTTGCAGGATTGTGGAAACCTTTGGTCATCTGGAGGCAGTTTTGTTTGCATTGAAGATTCTTAAGGCTTATATAAACCAAGCAACTAAAACTGAATATTTCCACTTGTGGAACATCAGGAATCAGGGATTTCCTTCCTAAAAGTGACTCGGAAAAACTAATCCACGCCTTTGTCACCTCAAGGCTTGACTACTGTAACGCTTTACTGGCAGCGTGCCCTAAAGCCTCTTTGAAGAGCTTCCAGCTCGTTCAGAATACAGCAGCTAGGATCTTAACAGGGACCAAAAGGAGGGAGCACATAACTCCGGTGTTAAAATCACTCCACTGGCTCCCTGTGGAGTACAGAATAAAGTTTCAAATTCTTATTTTGGCTCCCTCTTATCTCCAAGACATGTTAATGTCTTATAAACCAAGCCGAGCGCTGGTTTCAAAAAGCACTGTCTGTGGCAGAGCATTTACCTCCAAGCTCCTTTACTGTGGAATCAGCTCCCCACCTACGTTAAGGAAGCAGACAGTCTCTACATTTAAGGCCAGGCTTGAAGCACTCTTCAAATTTGGTTAGATTGTTGTCCGGTCTTGGAGTCTGCGTATGTGTGACCCGGTCCGTTGCATCTTCAACCCTACGTTCCAGGTTAGGCTAAAACAGTCCTCTTTAGTTTAGCATATGGCTAGGAAGGTAAGACTCTGGGAAGGCTAAACTCCTCCGACTGTCTGTCAAGCTGCATAGGGAGCCCCCTGCTGGAGAAGTATGGTAACTTGAGCACTATCCTCTCCTCCTTCCTACTTTATCTGTTTAGCATTATCAGGATTTTGACTGTAGTTTGTTCATTGCTATTCACCCGTTGTCCCATTGTCTGTTCCATGGTACGATGACGGGATCTCTGGACCTGGGCTCTTCCATCTACACCTGCGGACTGCCCCGCCCGACCCGCCTGGGAGTGCTTCAGTCCTGCACCGGACCTGTCCACGTTCAGCGGCCACTGGTCCACGTTCTGTAGATTAGGTCCTGGATCTACAGCCTTAGTCCTCGTTCTACAGTCTGACTCCTGGATCTACAGCCTTAGTCCTTGTTCTACAGTCTGACTCCTGGATCTACAGCCTTAGTCCTCGTTCTACAGTCTGACTCCTGGATCTATAGCCTCAGTCCTCGTTCTACAGTCTGACTCCTGGATCTATAGCCTCAGTCCTCGTTCTACAGTCTGACTCCTGGATCTACAGCCTCAGTCCTCGTTCTACAGTCTGACTCCTGGATCTATAGCCTGTCTGTCCGTGGGAGCGGATCCCTTTCTCAAACCATGGGTCTCCCCGAGGTTTCTCACTTTTTTCCCACTGGGTTTTCTTATGAGTTTTTCCTCTGATGCAGGAGTCTGTTGGAGACAGTTAGTGTCCAACTAGGACTGTGATGATCCAGGACACTTTAACATTCTACAACATGTATGACATTTATCACATGTATGACATTTATCACATGTATCAACATGTGTTCTATATGATGATGATGTATATATGATCTGTGTTGGTGATTTCAATGGTTTCGTTAAGTCTCTGAGATGATACTGTTGTTTAGGGCTATACAAGAATAAATTGTATTGTCCCCGGAAAAAGAATTACCCAATGCTTTTGTATGACGTCTTCGTTCCTCTCAAAAACGTCTTTACAGGATGGTCCAAAAGTCAGCTCTTGGCCCAACGCTACGTTCCACATGTATGTCAATGCTGAGGGGAATGTTTGTTTTTGGACCAGTCTCGTTTTGTTTTTGGACCAGTCTAGTTTAGCTTCAGAAGGCATTCTTGAAATGAATGGGGCTAGTGCCGGCTAAAACATGCAAAAATGCAATTTTTCACATTTTCCTGCCCCACAGTCATTTTGAAAAAGCCCACAGAAAGCAAAAGTGGTGGAGAAAGGCGTGATTACGTCTGTTAATATTTACAGTCTATGGTTTTATCTTGTCTGTCTACAGTGTCTGCTTCGCTTTGATATTGTTCGTCTGAGTTCTGATTTGTTGGTGCAAGGTTTAAAGTCTTTTGGGTCTATGTTACCTAGGGACCTGCCTTGGGATTACGGCGCATGTACACTGACGCTTAAGTTGATGTTGATGAATGTGCACTCAATAAATTAATACATTAAATTAAATTAAATGCTCTGGTCTGGACCATAGTAAAAACCGCGAACACTGAAAGCAGTAAAAAAAACAAAGCAAGAAAAATAATGATTGTAAACCACAAAACCTCAGCTGTTTCAGAGCTACTTACAACTTGCTGCCGTTTCCAGCACATTCTAAAGTAAATATAGGACATGAAAAAGACATAATACGAATTTCACACTAACATAAGCATTGAAAACACACAGAGATCCCTTTCTCATGCCACACGTAGGCCTCCAGTCAATAGGCAGATGAGAACGTCTACTTGAAAAGCCTGACTCATGCCATCGTAGGTCACATCATGGCCCTCATCAATATTACATTTGGCCGTGTTTGAAATGCAAACAAAGGAGGAGTACGCTGCTCCGTCAGAGGCCCAGTTGTGGAGGAAACGTGTGACGAGAAACACCACAAAGCTGAAGAAAAGTGCCGGAGTTACTGCCATCCATCCCACTCAGCGCAGGAGTGGTTGGTCTCCGTACAAAGCCACAAATGGATTAAAGGCATCAACACAATACTGGTGTGAGCTGGATATTGTGAGTGCCTCAAAGACAGCTCTCATCTTTTGACTCTAGTCCAAAGAAGGCAAAGCAATGAAAGCCTAATCATCACTACAAGCAGTTACCTGAGCAGCCGAGCCGGATTCACGCTGACGACCAGAGGATGTGTGAGGTTGACAGAAATCTGGGAGAAGTGTTTGGTTTTATCTATGGGGTGTGCTGAACATTCTGGTGCACTAATTGACGATAATGATTCTCTGTAGTCTGTTGTTTACAGTTTTGTAAAGTCTTAAGAAATGACTGCGGCTGTGATTTATGTTGATGTCAGTGCACTGGAAAAAGTGATGAAAAATAAGTCAAAAATTTAGCTAAATGTGTCTTAATTTGAGCGCATTTTTTGCCAACGGGACAGGGATACAAGAGATGTCCCTCCTGGAATAAGAAAATAAAGCAACAGTTCTTGAATTAAGACTAAAAGGCTTCGTCCCATCCGTGAATCTTGTTTCAACAGTCAAAATGTGCTCAAATTAAACAATCAACGCCTCATATTTTATCGTTTTTTGCATGTGCCATATGAAGTAAACATGAGGAGGCAGCGTTTCAGATTCACGCAGCTAAAATCTGGAACAATCTTGTTTATTAATTTATGTACAGCAGGACGCACTCACAAACTCTCATTCTTCCTGCACCTACTATGTACACGTTTTTAGTGGAAGGGGAAACCGGAGCACCTGGAGGAAGACGCAGGGACACTGGGAGAACATGCAAACGCCACACAGAAAGGCCCTGTCTGGAGATGGCCTTGCTAACAACTGCGCCAATTAACAAAACAACTAAATATGACTTATCACCAAGTTTCCAAGATGGCGGCAAGTCCGGGCGCCGCACCAAGAGCTCTGGTGATACCCGTTTGTTGAGATGTTTGAGAGTTTGAACAAAGCACTTTGACAATCTCGCACCTTTTCTTTAGCTCTGCAAAAGTATTCCAATGTGGTTTTACTGCAAATGGCAAATACAATGAGTCTGTATTTGCATTGTCTTTTGAATACGCAATAAACCACCAATCTTTACACAAACTTAAGACTTTTTGTTTGTGAAAAATCATTTATACACGCTCCAAATGAGGCGAGAGGAGCAGTTGGCCCGCAGCAGAGGCCTGGCCCACACTGACCAGCTGGACCGCCCCTCCCTCCAATATGGCTGGACCCGGACCGCGTGCGAGTCCGTATGTGATCCGCTGTTTGAACTGGACTCACCAGCTCCGGCTCTGGAGGCCCATTCACAAACACAAACTGGGGCAGACAGAGGAAGAGCCATGGATGAACGAACGTGGCGCCGGTCCCAGGATTCGCTGTCGCCGTCAGGAAAAGGTCCCACTGCGGATTAACGACCTCCTCTGACAATACGTCTGCCGTTGGTTTGTGTTGATGCAAAATGGAAGACTTGACTTTTTCCATGATATTAATGAATAGGCACAATACTCGAAACAAGTACCACAATACACTTACTTTCTACTCTCTATAGATCTGCATGGACCACCTGTATTCAATGTTTGTATTCCAATGTTCTTTTGTGGACCAATTTGACTGATAAAATTATGTGTGACTGTTGTGGGCCTGTGTGTGTGTGTGTGTGTGTGTGTGTGTGTGTGTGTCGGTGTGTCGGTGTCTGTAAACTGTATTTTTTAGAGATGTCCAATAATATCGGCCCACCGATATAATCGGCCCGATATTAGCATAACAATGTAATATCAGTTAATATCGTTATCGGATTTTTTTTGTCTTAAAACCAATAAAATAATGCTTGCGTTACAACCTGCCTATGCGCTCCTGAAGCGTATTTTGAAGTATTTTTTGTAGCTCAAACAAATGTTTTCTAAATTGTGCAGTATAGTTGCCACGTTTAAGTCAAATTGCCCTGTTTGTTGTGTTATCTCAGGGAGTGTGTAATCAAAACTGTTGTTTGAGACAATTGTAAAAATAAATAAAAATAAACATGGCAAGTATTTTTTCTTATTTTGCACAGACAAAGTTAACATTCAAGAATGCATGTTGTGTTAATTCCACAATATCCTGGAGATATGTGATATTACCTAAATTAGTTTTGAGGAAAAATAACCCACATATCGACATCGGTATCGAAAATTGAGAGTTGGACAGTATCGGCATATCGGATATCGGCAAAAAGCCAATATTGGACATCCCTTGTATTTTTCCAATTTAACTTCTGTATCTTGTTTTTTTGTACATCTATAAATATTACTGTTTTTTATAAATGTATAAATACTTTACTCACAAGTTTCTACACATGTGAAATGGGTCCAAATCTCACCGAGCGGATTGACAGGCTCAAATGTGTATGTGGAATAACTATAATAAGTTTATTTCATGTTTGATTCTTGCTCATTTTGGCAACATTATAAAAGTTGATAATAAGCCACATTATATCTCGGACTCGTCGCAGTTAGGCCTGAGATACTGTGAGTGACAAATGACATGTGTTATGGACATTCATGATTCCAATTTCAATATTATGCTTAAACACTACATGGCCATAGACTGTTGTTGCGTTTGTGTTGTGGTTGGTGGAATAATGGCATTTATCTTTGTTGGAAACCCTTTTTATTGTGATAAATGACATTATTGTTCCATCACTATGTACGAGTTTGTATTGTTTATGTTTTCATCCACTCTACTTCACATTTTCAAACAATAACACAATAAAACCACATGCTTTTTCCCCCGAACCCTTTCGAACGCTCGGACACTCCAGCCTGCTGCGGACAATGATCTCAACGCCATACAGAGATAATGAGAATATTAGCATTTATTTTTAACGAGGACATTTCGATGACTGTGACTTGTGGCGTTTTTGCACTGGCCTCGATGCCCCCTGCAGAGCGGAGCTGAGAGAGGACCTGAGAGAGGACCTGAGAGAGGACCTACTGCTGCTGCTGACGTCTGTATGTAAACAACACACGGCGGCTGTAGCCTTCTCGCACCAGAACATAACAACAGATGCCTCCGAACCACCTGCCGAAGGCCCCACAACACAATCTCAAAAACAACACTATGCATATGGATGAGTTTGTGTCAGAGAGCACGGAACATGATTCTGGAGGGAAGGGAATGGTAAATAACATGTACGGGGAGATTGTGTCGAGAGTGTGTCGTCCGAGCAAAGCTACCTGCAGGTCTCTGTGTAACCGTTGAATTTTTTACACACGTTGGCAGGAGGCCCTTATGAAACATCGGAGCACAAACACATTGCTGGACTCCGAGGCCCGGTAGTTTAGGCCTGCGCTAAAGTTGAAGATTTTATGCTTCATTCTTGCTTCTTTATGATCCAAAAGCTAGATATGTTATTGTATTTTAGTCCAGAGTAATTGTCAATTTATCTCTTGCTGTGTGCTCCTCATTCCTACTGTTCTGTAACTGGTGATGCAACACTGAAATTTCCCCGTTGTGGGAAAAATAACGGATCTCTTAATCTTAATATTCCTGTTTCAAACTGAGGTCACTTGCACTGGGAATGGGGTGGATTTATGAGGTTTTTCTTCTTCCATGTGGATCATCAAGACGATTGGTCCTCCCAACTGTCAATCATTCTGGTGATACTTGTCAAATAAAACCAGTTTTTTGTCAAAAAGTGGAAAGGGCGATTCTTTCTTCTTTACCTTTGACATTTTAGCAACTTTGTTTGGATTAAATTATGAAGTTCAAACTGGTTTTGATCCTCCCAGAATCCTTGATTTGACGAAAAAGAAGAGAGTAAAGAATACATTTTTATTTTTGTAGCACTTTGAGGTTTTGTGGAAATGAAGGATGCAATAAAATAAAATATTCATTCATTTTTATTTATTTTTATTCAGTTTCTACCCCTTTATTAATCAATTTCTGGGTCGGGGGTAACAAAAAATAAACAAATAAAAATAATAAATACAATAAAATGTGTTATTAACAACATTTTAACTAATATTGATCATTCGAAGGGTTTGAAAGTGAGAGAATTGTTTTTATACAAACACTTTTCATCCACGGTTCATTGGTTAAAGTCATTTCACATTCATTCAGTAGCAGTAGCTCAGTTGGTAGAGCGTTGGTCTTTGAGCCAGAAGGTCGTGGGTTCAAGCCCCGCTCAAGACTTTCACCATCGACTCCCACTGAGTCTGTCGTTGTGTCCTTGGCAAGACACTTAACCTCTGGGAACACCAGCCACAGTGGGGCGGCTGCGGCTGTAAAGTGCCAAACTGCTGTTGTGTCCTTAGGCAAGACACTTCACCCCCATTGCCTAGAATGAGTCTGGTGTGTGTGTGAATGGTTGGTGGTGGTGGGAGGGGCCGATGGCACATACTGGTTGCCTCGCTTCTGTCAGTGTGCCCCAGAGCAGCTGTGGCTACATTAGTAGTTTATCACCACCGTGTATGGAGTGAATGAATAATGACACATGTGAAGCGTCTTTGAGTGTCCAGAAAAGCGCTATATAAAACCGATGCATTATTATTATTCATTGACGTTTTTAATGCTCAAAATCCCGACGAGAATCTTTCCGTGTCTCAGAGATGACAGATTGTGTAACTGTGGCACGTCACACAAATCACTGGCTCCAAAGTCTCTCTGTCTTTCCCGACGATCTGAGCTTTTCACACACTTCAACATTTTCCTCCGACTGTTTGAGTGACCATTAGTAAAGATTATTACTCAAACTCAGTCCAAGAGCACCTGGTTTAGAAACTTTCTTTTAAAACACATTTTCTAGAATCTACTGAAGTCCTCACTCCTCTGTCTCTGTGCAACTGAATTATCATTGAAATAACTAATCTAGCAATAGACAAAAACAGGATCAGAGGTTTTACGACTCAGAGAAATTGCAGAATGAAAATATGTGTAAATGTGTTGTTTATTGTTGTGTATGTTTCAGAATAAGTATTTTTTACAAACCGTTTCAAGCATTTCCTCTAAAACAATGCAATGTTTTATAGAAAAGGTTCTCCAGGGGCTTCATTTCATACACTGCAAAAAACATTTCTCAATTTTGGCGAAATGTATGTTAGTTTGAGCACATTCGGCCGAGCCTTGAAACAAGATTTGCAAATGGGACGAAGCAAAATGATCTTGTTTTAAAAGAAATGTCTCTCTTAAAATAGACTAAATGGCTTTGTACAATTGGTGAATCTTGTTTTAACACTCAAAAATTACTCAAATTAAGATAAAAACCGCACAAATCAAGCAATTACCACATTTTTTACATTGTGCCCTTTTGGGGATCTAAACAACTAATAATTGAATCGAGATGATAATCCCCCAACTCTTCTAATATCAGAATAATTGTAAATGACAGCCCTATAACTGTGCATGTTCAATTATACATCAAGTAGAGTATTCTCGCTTTAACAAACCAGCTGAAGACACATCATTTGGAGCTAAACAACAGCTTCTTGAAAGTCAAAACGAAACCTTCACCTTGAAATCTGCAGCTCTGCACATCTGTTTGCCCAAAGAGGACGAGCTCAGCTGCCAAATGGTCTAATTAAATCGGGCAGGAGATAGATTTCCTCCGAGTCCGGCTCATTTTCGACTTTGCTCTCCGCCGTCGTGCACGCCTCGTACTGACGCCTCGTACTGACGCCTCGTACTGACGCCTCGTACACGCCTCGTACTGACGCCTCGTACTGACGCCTCGTACTGACGCCTCGTACACGCCTCTCGTACTGACGCCTCGTACTGACGCCTCGTACTGACGCCTCTCGTACTGACGCCTCGTACTGACGCCTCTCGTACTGACGCCTCGTACTGACGCCTCTCGTACTGACGCCTCGTACTGACGCCTCTCGTACTGACGCCTCGTACTGACGCCTCGTACTGACGCCTCGTACTGACGCCTCGTACTGTACTGACGCCTCGTACTGACGCCTCTCGTACTGACGCCTCTCGTACTGACGCCTCGTACTGACGCCTCGTACTGACGCCTCTCGTACTGACGCCTCTCGTACTGACGCCTCTCGTACGGACGCCTCGTACTGACGCCTCTCGTACTGACGCCTCTCGTACTGACGCCTCGTACTGACGCCTCTCGTACTGACGCCTCGTACTGACGCCTCGTACTGACGCCTCGTACACGCCTCGTACTGACGCCTCGTACTGACGCCTCGTACTGACGCCTCGTACTGACGCCTCGTACTGACGCCTCGTACTGACGCCTCGTACTGACGCCTCGTACTGACGCCTCGTACTGACGCCTCGTACTGACGCCTCTCGTACTGACGCCTCTCGTACTGACGCCTCGTACTGACGCCTCGTACTGACGCCTCGTACTGACGCCTCTCGTACTGACGCCTCGTACTGACGCCTCGTACTGACGCCTCGTACTGACGCCTCGTACTGACGCCTCGTACTGACGCCTCGTACTGACGCCTCGTACTGACGCCTTTCGTACTGACGCCTCTCGTACTCGTACTGACGCCTCGTACTGACGCCTCGTACTGACGCCTCTCGTACTGATGCCTCGTACTGACGCCTCTCGTACTGACGCCTCGTACTGACGCCTCTCGTACTGACGCCTCGTACTGACGCCTCTCGTACTGACGCCTCGTACTGACGCCTCTCGTACTGACGCCTCGTACTGACGCCTCGTACTGATGCCTCGTACTGACGCCTCGTATTGACGCCTCGTAAACGCCTCGTACTGACGCCTCGTACTGACGCCTCGTACTGACGCCTCGTACTGACGCCTCGTACTGACGCCTCGTCGTACTGACGCCTCGTACTGACGCCTCTCGTACTGACGCCTCGTACTGACGCCTCGTACTGACCTGTAGACGCCTCGTACTGACGCCTCGTACACGCCTCGTACTGACGCCTCGTACTGACGCCTCGTACTGACGCCTCGTACTGACGCCTCGTACTGACGCCTCGTACTGACGCCTCGTACTGACGCCTCGTACTGACGCCTCTCGTACTGACGCCTCGTACTGACGCCTCTCGTACTTACGCCTCGTACTGATGCCTCGTACTGACGCCTCTCGTACTGACGCCTCTCGTACTGACGCCTCGTACTGACGCCTCGTACTGACGCCTCGTACTGACGCCTCTCGTACTGACGCCTCGTACTGATGCCTCGTACTGACGCCTCTCGTACTGACGCCTCGTACTGACGCCTCTCGTACTGACGCCTCTCGTACTGACGCCTCTCGTACTGACGCCTCGTACTGACGCCTCGTACTGACGCCTCGTACTGACGCCTCTCGTACTGACGCCTCTCGTACTGACGCCTCTCGTACTGACGCCTCTCGTACTGAAGCCTCGTACTGACGCCTCGTACTGACGCCCGATTGTTTGGACGGCCTTGGAGAGCGCACGGACACGGACTAACCTCGCACTCGCCTCTCGTCGCTGTCATGCTTTTGGTCAGCAACGCATCAAATTGTCTGTGCATGAATATGCTTCAAATTCAAGTGAAAACACAGTTTAGCTCCAGCTCAGTTCATGGATTAAAAGGGAAGAAGCCAAAAATCAATTTGAGAAATGTGATAATGTGCTCAGTCTGAGTCATTGTGTCGTTAATGGCCCAGTTATCTACACTTAATTAATCAATTTTACAGCTCTGAAAGTCTAAGATGAAGAACCTCTGACTGTGGACTGTCTCTATCCTGTCCACATTTTGTATTTAACAGTCAAGAAGTTTGCTTCATTTCAATGTATTTTTGTAAAGCCCTGAATTAGGGCTGGGCGATAAAACGATAACGATATATATTGCGATAGACACGTGTTCGATATCAATATAAAACTGGGTCAATAGAACTTGGATAGTTTCACTTCAGTCCGTAAAAAAAAAAAACAGGAACAAAACACAGGAAGTAAAGCCGAGTCAGAAGCGCACGGCATTCTGGGGGATGTAGGCAGAGACTTCTCGACCTATCACAGCTGACTAAAAACCGCTAAACTTTCTGGGAAATGCAAAAACAACAACTGCACCATGTGTAGGGTCCATGGATCATGGATCTATTATAAAGCCATGGATCTAAAGATTGTGTTTCAGGCCGTGTCAGTGGTTAAACACGTCTGTGCGAGGAACAGCATGTGCGGCGGGACAGGCAGAGACTCCATGCATTCGGCAAAAGCAAGAGATTAACTTTCCGGAGCCGTCATGGGGACACAAGACACTCAAACAGCCAAAACAGGAGCTAAACCAGGACTAAACCAGAACTAAACCAGGTCTAAACCAGAGCTAAACCAGGACTAAACCAGGACTAAACCAGGACTAACTATGGGGGAGACTGTTTCCCCGTGACTGTAAACAAGGCTGCTAACATGTGTTAGCCAACACGACAAATGGTTTTATTTACGTTTTTAAAAAGAAATAAAAAACAATCAATATATATTGTTATCGACCGATATGATACTTATATTGTGATATAGTTTTCAGCCATATTGCCCAGCCCTAGTACACTCAAAGAAATGATTCAGGTGGTTAGTATTTTGAACTCAAAATACATACTAAACTAAACTCAATAATTGATTTTTGCCAGTTTTACTTAAATTAGTGTGGTCGCAACTCATTTTAAACATGTCGGTCTCAATTAAAAGTTAATACAAGAATCCTAACTCATTTTTGTAACAAATTTGAACTTGATATTCTGGCATAACTGGACAACGGAGAAGTATTGAGTTTGCTCAACATGAAAATCCTCTTGTAAGCCTGGTGGCCCATTAATGAAAAAACAAATATATTGAGTTGATTCAAAATAAATATATTGAGTTGATTCAAAATAAATATATTGTGTTGATTGAAAACAAAATGTGGCGAAGCAGTGACGCTACCCAGAATGCATTGCAGCGAAAAATATAAACTTCTTAAAAATTCTACATTTGAACATTAATTTTAAAACTGAATATGAAGCAAGTCCTAAAGCAAAATACTTGAGCAACATTCTGAATAAACTAATTTGACCAAATAAGTAATTGTATTTATTTTTATCAACCATGATCGAGAGGGCCAAGCCAAAGCAGTCCTATACTCCCTGTGTCACCCTTCAATTTTGAACAGATACATTAAGGTGGACATGTTTACCAGTGACTGTGCTGGCCCACTCTCATATATATGTGGAGTGAGAGACTACTGCCTGAAATTAACAATTGTGAACCGTTTTGTGAATCTAATCTTTGAAAGATGGTATTTGAGTAAAGATTACATATTCCTGACTGAAAATCACTTGTTGAATATACTCAAAAAGATTTATTTTCAATGTAATTATTTAAGTTGGTAGTATTGTTAAAATTAAGTTGAACTGATGCTAAAACACTTGCTGAATATACTTAACAAAGTGTCTTTATAACTCAATTATCCAAGTTGGTGGTATTGAAAAAATTGTGCTGGACCAATGATAAAAGACTTACAAAGAATACTTAAAACACAGTCTTGTTCGCAAAACTTAAAAAGATGCATGCAAAATGCTGCCTCAATTTTATTAAGTTTTGCCAATGCATTTTTTTTTAGAGTGTAGTAGTAAGTGGTAGTAGTAGTAAGTAAGTAATCTTTATTTATATACCGCCTTTTCACTGCAGATCTGAGTCTCAAAGAGGTAGCCTGAATCACAAAACTATTATCTCAGAGGGTTTCATGAAACTGTTGAATTCGCTATCACAGATCAGAGAATCAGATCAAACACAACAAACACTTACAGCTGTTGGTCCATAAGAGACAAACCAATGTCCATAAATGTTGCATATTTGTATTTCCTCGTTGTAAATACAACTTTATTCCCTCTATATCCGCTTTATTCAGCAGCTTAAGGCTTTGCTATGGAATTAAACTTTTAAACCTCAGTGACACCGAAAGTAGGCTTTCCAGCTGGAGAAGTGACAATGACTGTAATTAAACAAACGGAGGAATCCCTGTGGAGACGAGCACGAGATTCTATAACGAGGATGTGACAAAAGCTGCAAATGATCAGTTCTACATCGGTTTAATGCATTATTATCCATTTACTCCAAACACGGTGGTGATAAACTACTACTGTAGCCACAGCTGCCCTGGGGCACACTGACAGAAGCGAGGCAACCAGTCTGTGCCATCAGCCCCTCCCACCACCACCAACCATTCACACACACACACCATTTTAGGCAATGTAGGTGAAGTGTGTAGCCTAAAGACACAACAACAGTTTGGCGCTTTACAGCCGCAGCTGTCCCACTGTGGTCTCCCATCACAGTACTAACCAGGCCCTGCCCTGCTTGACTTCAGAGGTCTGAAAGGATCTGGCTTTCACCTGCAGGTTAATCTCCATATAAAACATACTAACTTTACAAAGTTGTCAATTTGCCAACAACAGATTAGACAAACATCAGGACAGAGGATCCATTGGTTTAAGGAAGTAACAGGACGACCAGTGTGTGTGTGTGTGTGTGTGTGTGTGTGTGTGTGTGTGTGTGTGCGTGCGTGCGCGTGCATACATATCTGTAGTTTCCTATGTCTGTACCATCTTTATAATATATATACAATTTATTTTCATATATGTCAAAAAGAAAAAAAAAGAAAAAATACAACTTTATTGATACTCTCTTTTGCAGAGTCAGCAAAAAGCAATAAAAACAGTCATAATAAAAAAAACGTACGATGTCCATACATGTGCATACATGTTTTACACGTCTCATTTCACGGCAGTAACCTTAACCTTTGAAATGTGTGAATGGTGAAGCTACGATGACTAACGGTGACATATGGTCCAAAAAGTGCAGAGGTAGGGCACGGCCGAGGAGCTAATGTGGGAACTTGTCATTCACTCATCTATTTTACATCATGCTGCAGCTCAAGGTCTCCTGCAAGAAAGATTTATAGCCAGAAAATAGCATTCGTCTGACCTCTGACCCGCAGCCATGGATCATAACGTGTGCCTTTGCAGTCCGAGAATGAGTCACGGCCTCTGAACATCAAACACACTCATGTAACAGGAGGCTCGCAGCAAACAAGGCGCTTCAGGGCACACACTCTGAAGCATTATTATGTCATTACTGTCAGAAGGTTAAGGAAATTTTCCTACGCCAAGGCTGGTTAGAATACATATGAAAGCTTGTCGTTTAAATATTCCCTGGGGACGACTGACTCACCCTCGCTGTGTGGAGGAGACGTTCTACAGGTCTTTCCTTCCTGCTGCTGTCAGACTGTACAACGAGAAATGAGGACAACCATAGACTGTAAAAACCAACAGATGTAGTTATGCCTATCTCTGCCGTTGCAACTTATGTGCCATCGGTTTTGGCTTCTGTGGGGCTTTTTCAAAATGGCCGCAGGCAGCCCCTCCAACAGGAAAATGTGAAAAAACACAATTGTGCATGTTGCAGGCGACACCAGCCCCATTCATTTGATGAGTGCATACTGAAGTCCCAGTGGCGGCCGGCCAATAGAGGGCGCTAGGGCGCCGCCCCACCACTCACAACTTGCCATGTTACCTTGAATAAAACGTTAAAAAAAATAATAACATTAAAATATTTCGAAATTTATGTGTGTTTTATTTCAGATGTGGAAGAAATACTTTATAGTTTATGCTGAGTTGGATTGATTAAGCTCATCAGCGTTGTCTGTGTCAGACTGAGGACGTATTTCCGCCTCAGGGCGCAAAAGATTGCGCCCTGAGCCGTCTATGGACTCTCGTTAAAAGTTGTACATGCGCAGTAGCTCCTCTTCAATGCAAGAGATAAGACAATTTGGGGGCGCAGGAGAAGTGCGCCCTGAGGGGGCGGGATCGCCCGCGACCTGTACTGTCACTGTCTGTGACGTCCGTTTACAGTGATTGACAGGTCAAGCTGTGGGAGTTTGAGACGAACGTAAAGAGACGCAAAATGGAGAACGAGAAAAAGAATAATTCAGTTAGATCACTCAAAACAATACCGTTTGAGAGAAGATCATACCAGGAGAAGGTTGAGGTTAAAGAGCTTGGACCTGATCAGCCAAATATTACCATTAGTCAGCAGTCCAGGACCTGGTTCAGCGCCAAATCTTGGCTAGCAGCATGTAGCGAGGCTAATGCTTTATTTTGCTTTCCATGCCTCTTGTTTCAAACATCAGGATCTGACCCAGCATGGATCAAGACAGGTATGACTGATCTGAAGCACTTTTTAGAAAAGGCAAAGAAGCATGAGCAGACTGGTATCCACATGCAAAATGCCCTCAAATTAGCTATGTTTGGGAAGATAAATATTTCATTCTCGTGTGAGGCTTCAGTCACAACAGTCAGTGTAAACTTACTTACTGCTGGTATATATCTAGTCATCATATTCATAGCCCCCCCAGTAGAAAATTCCACCAGCCGCCACTGTGAAGTCCACTGCGGCTAAACTAGACTGGTCCAAAAAAGTATACAGTATATAACCCTAACCCATGGACAGCATCTGGAACCCAGC